TCGGGCCCTCCCGGGCCGGTTGCGAGGTCGGTTCCGCTGTGCGCCCGCTCCTACTTCCGGAACGAGGTGCTGGGGCGGACACGTGCAGAGCCTCCGGCCGAGCGGCGCTGCTGCGCGGGAACCAGCACACCGTCCGGGTTTTCCCAGCACAGCCTGCCGGAGGCCGGCAGACTCGCACAGATTATTAAAGGCGACTTTTGGCCCAACCTCTGCAGCACTACCCGCTGGGGACAGGCCCTGCAGGGCCGAGCCGGGCCTACCACGGCAGCTCTCGGAGGCCCCTTCGAGGCCCCACGGGCTCCAGTCTGGCTAAGTTCTGCCCTGGCAGGTGGAGCGGCCCTAGGATTCCTGCCTCCTGGGGGCCCGGGCTCAGGCCAGCAGCAGGCGCTTCACCGCCTCCTTTCTGTTCTGGGCACTCTGGCTCCGGCAGGACTGGGTTCCAAGACTCTGGCCTCCAGGACCAAGCACCACTGTTTCCGTGTGGCCTTCGTGCTGTTCTGTGTCGACACCATGAGACGGTCACGTGCCACTGCACCTACAGTAAGCACTCAACCCTGGCGCTGTGATCTGCCATCATCTTTATGGCCTGGCCCTATCTGTGACTGTGGCCTTCCCACCCCTCTTTGTTTTTTCTTTCTTCTTTCTTTTTCTTTCTTTCCTTCTCTCTCTCTCTCTCTCTCTCTCTTTCTTTCGAGTTGGGGTATTACTCTGTTGTCCAGGCCAGAGTGCAATGACATGTTCATATCTTATCATAGTCTCGACCTCCTGGGCTCAGGTGATCCTTCCACCTCAGCCTCCTAAGTACCTAGTACTACAGGCACATACTGCCACACCTGGCTAATTTTTTATTTTTATTTTTTTTTGTAGAGACAAGGTCCCACTGTGTTGCACAGGCTGGTCTCGAACTCCTGGGTTCAAGCAGTCTTCCTGCCTTGGCCTCCCAAAGTGTTGGGATCACAGGTGTGAGCCATTGCGCCCAGCTTTCCACCCATTTTTGACACAGGCACTCACAAGTCATCACTGGGAGATCCAGTGCCTCTTTGAGGCCCACTGCTCGAGGCCATGACATCCTGGGCATCATATCCATGCTGGCTGTGGCAAGCTGAGTCTTGTCACCCAAGATTAAGTGGGTGCATTTGGTGCTGCTGCCAACCAGACATGAACATTCCATGTCCTCAGGACCACAGGCTAGGCTTCCACCAAGTGGACTGCTGGACATCTGGCAGAACAGGAACCAGCTGGGCACGGGTGAGGTCACGGGCATGAAACGGTGCTAGTGCTCTTGTGATCACAGTGTTCTTCCTGTCCCATGAGGGCCCCACAACACAGCCTGCTATTGGCTCATGAAGATCTGTGCTTTGTCCCACCAGTGCATGGCCATCACCCTTTTTTTTTTTTTTTTT